TAAAAACTTACCGATTAAGCTTACAGTCTTTCTATATTTTATTGTAATTTAGCTAGAATAAATCTAAAACTAAAGTGATTTGAGAATATTTGCAAACATCACTATTAAATCAAATTTTTTAAAAATTTGACATTTCTATAAAAAAAGTATCTGTTCTTATCGGGTGTTGTTGAAGGTATTCAATAGTCATTTTAAACATAATTTCAAAAATAGAAACTTAGAGATAAAAATAAAAAATAATAAAAAGATATTTATCATATATTGGGGGTAGATCTTATTAGTCCTTGGAATGAAAGAATACATTACTGTTTGAAAACATATAAACCCCTACAGTACTTGAAATATGGATACATTTTACAACATTTCATTGTAGTAATCCCGTACAAATGGAAAAAAATCATTCAAATGTCGGCTTTAATCGGAACTCCTTGTAATCATCAAAATAAAGTTGTCCATATAAAAAACAATTGACAAAAGACAAACAACATATAAAGTTTATATTTTTCTAATTGTGTGGTATTTTTTCATAGCAGCTTGTAAATATTATTTATTTTGGTAATGTAGAAGCATTTTCTGATATCTCATGAAAAAATAATGTAATGTTGATTGCCTATGGATCAGGTGCCTATGTGTAATGATGGCTGCCTATAACTGATAAACTTTACTAATTACAGCTAACCAATTATAACGTGCCCTATGATAAGCAACTCGCGCGTATACTAGAGCGTACACGTTGTGCAGATATGATTTATGCCACCGGTTACGTTACAATCGATGTGCTGTACAAGTGTACAGTAGTTTTAATTTTGTTTTGGGGATGGAATGGATCAATATGGTTTCTGCTGAACTAAATGATTATTTGCGCCTATTATTTGACAAAAACTTTAATAATAGTTGACTATACCTTACTATCAGACTTTGATATATATAATTAAGTTTTTGATGGGTGACTGGTGGCAAATATTCTAATGTGTACATTACGTATATAAACGCAGTCTAAACACTAAGTTTTAAAAACTAAAATAAGTCCTTACTATTTAATAACAGGGTGGCCAAAACGTTATATAGGTATCAATAGTGTATAAGTTTAAACCTTATATGTGTAGAATAGCGTGTTATGTTAAAGTGGCAGATATTATGTAAATGCGCTTTTGATTTAAAAAACCGCAAAATTTCTTTCATCAAAATCAATGAGCACCTAGGTTCAGAATTTTCACATTCTGGAAGGTACATTAACCGGTCATACCCCAAAAAACAAAATGCAAATATCTAAGAACTTAGAAGAAGCTCCTTTTATAGCTAGTAGTTATCTTCAATCTTGCTTTTCCATTTTTTACGTCTTTTAAAATCAGTCTTTTAAAGTTTCATCCTAACATGACCTTCTTCTGTGGCGCTTAGAGTTAGAGATAAATAATATTCATTCAATATGTAAGGCTAGCAAATCATGCCAAACAAGCTAAACTGTTTAATTGGCTGTTGATGCGCAGAAAGTACTCAGCCTTCCCAAGAAGCTAGTATTTAACGAAATACGTTATGTTGACATATATATAGCTCCAAAGGAAATAAAAACCATTCCTTTATGTTCATTTACTTTGTTAACATGAATTCCAATCAATTAATAGTCGATTATATCAAAAGTTTAGGCACAAATATTGGTAAAGACAAGGTGTATGAAGTTCGCAATATATTTTACGCTTAGATAAGAAATTGGCTATTAGTTGACTAACTTTTTAATTCGATGAAAATTGGGACCCTGTTAAAATTTTTCAATCGCTCTATAGCCACACTAGAACCAGTTCAGTGTGCGAACTCTCATTTACCATTCAAACCATCAAACATTTTATTTAAAAAATCAGTCAATCAAAACCACCCTGTACTGCACAACGATAATAATAACAGAAGTCATAGAAATACTCGAAGAAGCATAAGGAAACTTCAACAATAGAAATGTCATCCTAAATTTTTAACTAGCATTAAAATTCTATAAAAAAAACCACACGCAGAGGACGGTAGGATAGAAGACCAATGTTGTGGACTACTCAAACCCCACATCACAAGTTTACCCCTTTCGTAGGAGAAAAGATAATACAATATAGGTACTTAAACGAAAAAGCTTAAAGTTGAAAAATATATAGAAAATGACGAATGATATTTCGTCGAACCATCTGCGACACTCTTCTACTAAAAGAAAACAATTTTTAAACATTTGCAATTGCGGGAAACAGAAAATTTACTGATATATTAAAGAATAACAACATATTCTTATGTTTACCGAACATATACCTTACTTTGTTTTCACTACTGTTTTTTGTCGATTATGAAAATTACTTGTCTATTTATCATTACTTACCAATTTTGGTAACCATTGACTTCTAAATCGACCTAATCTATATTCTTAAAGTTACATTATGTTTTCTAATAGACCGAAAGGTTACTAGATACAGTCGTCTTTTGGGGGTACCGGAATGTAACAACAAATATCAAACAATAAGTTGTACTTTTAAATCAGGGCCTGGTTAGCATCGTATTTCGCGGTTTTTCAAACGAATCTTTAGAGATCTGCGTTTATTTGTTAAATTTCTATGTCACAACAATAAATTTTTACTTGTAATAACGAAATTATATTTTAATATTATTTATGTATTAAGGCCGATACATTCAGTTAGAAGGAATCTGTAACAAAGAAAAATAAGATTATTTATTTATTTAACTAGTTTGTATAAGGCATACAAATTAAAAATTATTGCACGTCATAGTACATGGCAAAATATATGTTATACAATTTATATTGGGAAGACCGTAGTATCTTGACCATGGTGTACCGTGCGCTACAGCCAATATCCCATCAATATCCCACTAGTGCCGATAAGGACCGAGTAATCGTCGTACCTACGGAGCCATACTACGTTCTTACTGCATTTTACGGAGTTTTATGGCCATTAGTCGCATTTGACGGAAGTGGTTATAATTTTCGCTTTCAATTTCGCAAGGTCTAATAAAAAAATATCCAGAAACATGGCTTGAGGAAAAAATGACTGCAGAATAAATGGATACGAGTAATCTTAAAGCGACATTCTGGCAAGAATTCGATTCGAAAGCCAGAAGTGCCGTACTACGAGCTTCAATCGCCACTGTTTTTGTTTCAGCACATAATAGACGTTCATTAACGTTTTGGTCCAATTCTACCGGAACGGATTTGGAATACTGATGAAACAGGAATGAGCACTGTCCAAAACCAATCAAAAATAGGCGGACCTAAGGGGATAAGACAAATCGTTAGTGCAACGTCTGCTGAAATAGGACAGCTGATAACGATGACAGCATCAGTTAATGCAATGGGGAACCCAGTTTTACCGTTATTGGTTTTTCCTCGAGTGCACTACAAAGACAGAATGATTTTTCCAGGGGCTCCCGTATATATTACTTTCTGACCTATGTCAGTTAATCTCTGAGGAAAAAAGATGCTTCCTTGTTCTTGACAATTATGAAACACACCTTTCTCCAGAAGCCTTGGATAAAGCCTCTGATGCAGGAGTAGTGATGGTTACGTTTCCTCCCCATAGCAGCCATAAGCTTCAGCAGCTGCACATTTTAGTCTATTCGCCTTTTAAAACATACTACAACCAAGCCGTTGATCAACAATGCAGGGAAAACATTTGACATTTATTATATACGCGTAGAAATCATATTTAAAAATTTCTATTAATGTTAACTTGAAGAAATATACAATAATATGTTTCATTTAATTTGTATAAATGCATTATAAAGCGTTTTTATCAAGAACATTTGTTCGGAACACACTGTAACTGTAATCGAACAAAGGTGAAATTTTGGCATAAATTGGTAACACTTATTTGACAGTTGCGGTGTTGACACTTTTTGAACTTCATTATTTTGAATTTTAAAGTGGATATCCTCTTGTTTTATATTTTTAACTATCTAATAAAATCTGTTCTTTTTAGAACACATTTAGTGTGTTTTATTTAAAAAATGTCACGTAAGAATTTAAATAGTCGTTGTAAAGAGATGGTAATACTTTTGCAATAATTATGTAATCTATTTGATTTAAAATGGAGTCAGAATTTTTTTATACTTTGGCAACTATGTCAACTTCGATCTCTGACGTAGATAATGACGTAAGTCGTTATCTAAATTAGATGAAGTATATATATATATATATATATATATATATATATATATATATATATATATATATATATAGAGTTGCTAACGTGGAACGGCTAACCCTGGAGCATTTACGCCCAACAATATTACTTCTGGATTACGTAAATCTGGAATTTATCTCTTTAACGAAGGGGTATTTTCAGATGACGATTTCTTAGCTTCCTATATCACTAATCGCTCGACAACCTCCGCAACAAATGTCCTCCGCGACTTTGCTGGCACATACGCATTTTTTTATCATAATTTTCCATGACCGTTTTGCATAAATGTGGTTGAATGTCGTTGGATGCAGCGTTGAATTTTCTCCTTTAATGCAGGGTGGTTATATGCTTCTTGACATAGACCATTATTCCATTTTTATTGCAATAAAATTGAATTTGACGATTATTTTTTCTCATCTACTATAATTTTATGGCCCTGGCACATTAATCCCCTCTCCAGTGTTGGGAACACTGATTTTAAACATGATGAACAAGATTTTAAAGTAACTATTTGAATAGATATTATTTAGATTATACAAATATTTACGTGTATGTACGATTGCGCACAAATTTGAAAATCTAATAGCAAGTAACAGTCAAACATCTTCATGTATAGATATCATATTTTTATTAATTTTTAATGTTTATTGAATAAAAAAGGACTTTTTGATATTCAATATTTTTCCTCGGTAATTACGACGTGCAATATAGTTTTTTAATTTGTATCTGTCTAACTTCAAACATTATTGTTAAATTAATTACTGGTTCATACAGATTAAACTTACAATAGCTACCCTATGCTGCCCCAAAGACAGTTCTGGAGAAGTTTCAGCTTCAACTGTCAACACTGAACAACTCCTTGTGTAACGCTGGGAACTCCAAATGTGGCGCCGATCTTTTTAGTTTTCCTAACGCATCCATATGGAGCATACTTATTTCCCTGAAAATTAAATCCGTTTTAGTGTATATCTGATATAAAATAAATTTTAACTACAAGATAGAGTAGTTTCGGTTTACTGAGAATATATATTTTTTGAAACGCGAACTTTATTAGAGATAATCAAGGTTGAGAGTAACTAACAAGATATCATATGTATTTTTTTGAGATTTTAAAACTTTTGAAAATCATTTTCATTATTCAACAATATTTACGGAAAGAAACAAGTCGAAATATTTTAAGAGTGTAAAATACTGTGTAGTTGTCCTTCAGATTTAATACATACTTATAAAAAAAATTATATTTCTTTTGTATTTTTTTACGAATCTTTATCAATACAGCTTTTACGATTACGCCAAAGACACACCAAGAAAAAATAGTAACAAATTAGAAAGTTAAGGAAAAAATAACTTCAATCAGAAAATGCAAGATTTTTTAAAATAAACTAAACTAAAACTAAAACCGATTAAAAGTTTTACCTCTTAATTTAAAATCTATTTTTATACTTCTAATGACTTGCTTAATGGTTATGTAGGTTTAGTTACATATTTTGTAATGATTGATAAATCAGTATAATAAAGATGGTATTTACCTTAGTGTTGGAATTTTTGTTAACAACGCGTCACAGACAGTAACATCGCCTTTGATGGGTAGGCTATGATTCCTTTCAAGTTCCAGTCTGAGAGCTCTTACGACAGCTTGGCTTAGTCGTCCGATCTCCCCTACTCCTTTCAGTCCTGGTCGATCTAAAATATTTTAAAGAAAATCACTTAAGAAAGTTTTTATATCATTTCACTTATATCATTTTTATATACAAAAATAGGATTATTGTAAAAAAAAACAAACCTAACCTAAAACTGTAACATTAAAATAGAGTGGAATGTGGTTGTATGTCTTGAATGTTCTTTATAGAGGATAAAAGCGGTGAACTTTGTCGACCAAAAGCTGTGTAGTCATTAATTTATTTAAGGAAAGAAATTTTAAAAATTTGACAAAATTCTTTCCCGCAAACCCAGAAGAAAATTTATTTTCTACCACTGCAACTTCTTAAATTCTTTCAGCTATCGTCGACTAATGCCATAAGATTTCTGATAAATCCTGTAAAATTTATAGGATAACAGTAAAGAAACGCATCAAAGGAATGTGGTAAGATAGCAAAAGAAGACGCTTTGTAAAAAAATGTGTCAAGATATTAAGAGCTTAATAGGCAAATCGGCAATGATGATAGACCCGAAGAACAGGAGACTTTAGTTGAAGGTGAAAGACCAGAAATACTAAAATCAGAAATACTGCATGCTATAAAGTTAGCAAAGAACAAGAAAGCCGTTGGCCCTGATAACATACCGACAGAGATGTTAAAGCTTATAAATGATGAGAACATTGGAATACTGGTCAAACTTTTCAATGATGTTTATTCGACTGGTGATATCCCTGAAGATTGGTTAAAGTCCGAATTCATAACACTACCAAAAAAACAACGTCCGAAAAACTGTAGCGATTATAGAATGATAAGATTTATGAGCCACACTTTGAAAAGATTTCTACGCATCATCCACAGTAGAATCAGAGATAAATGTGAAGAAGATCAGGATGAAACACAATTTGACTTCAGAAATGGACTGGGAACTCGGGACGCCCTCTTTGCACTAAATGTATTACTGCAGAAATGTCGAGATCAAAGGAAAGACGTCTTTGCTGTATTTATTGACTATGAAAAGGAGTTGATAGTCAAGACATACGATTCATAGAAAAGTTATACTGGCGTCAAACAGCGACAGCTTGCATAAACGGAAAATCAACAGAAATATGTAAAATACAAAGAGGTGTCAGACAGGGCTGTATACTATCCCCACTGTTATTTAATTTATATTCAGATATAATATTTAAAGAAGCGCTGCATAATTTGGAATGGGGCGTGAAAGTTAATGGAATTCTGATAAATACAATCAGATATGCAGACGATAGTTATTTTAAGTAATGACATGAATGGATTACAATGCCTTTTAAATGCCATTGATAAAGTGGGAAGAGAGTTTGGCCTAAACATAAACTGTTCAAAAACAAAACACATGGTGTTTAGCCGTTTAGCACATCAAGATGCACGATTATATGTTGATGGTCATATAATTCAAAGAGTGTCCAGTTTTAAATATCTTGGTTGCCATATTACTGAACAACTAGATCCAGATCAAGAGATAAAATGTAGAATCGAGATAGCCCGACATTTTTAAAAATGAGGTCATTCTTCTGTAATGATAACTTGCAACTTCAACTTCGAAAGCGCATGGTTAAATGCTACATTTGGTCAGTCCTCTTATACGGTGTCGAAGCATGGACATTAAAAATATCCACGATTAATTGTCTGGAGGCCTTTGAGATGTGGCTGCACAGACGTATACTAAAAATGTCATGGACGGCTATGCTGACAAATGTGGAAGTCCTTGAAAGAGCAAATGCTGCTCGCGAGCTGCTTGATAACATCAAATGTAGAAAGATGGCCTATTTTGGACACGTAGTAAGGGGAGACCGATATAATATTCTTCAACTTATTATGATGGGTAAAATCGAAGGACGCAGTGGAATTGGTAGAAAGCAGGCCTCTTGGTTGAAGAATATCAGGGAGTGGACAGGAATAAAGAAAGCTGAGCAACTATTTAGAATAGCTCGAGACAGAGACAGTTTCGCCATGTTAATCGCCAACGTCAAGGGGACTTGATAGGGCACGTTAAGAAGAAGGCAAATCGGAATACAAATAATATCTGCAAAGGAAGAATGGGTGCAAGAAAATCGTAACGAGATACCAGATGCAAATAAAACATACAGACAAATAATTATACATAAAAGTCAAAGAAGTGGCTAGACTATGAAAAGCTAAATTATCTGTAGTGACAAATAAGAACAACGTAATAGAATTAAACCCTGAAAAATAAAAGGTAATATTAGCAATATTTCAAAGAACTATTTGATGATCACAGAATAAAAGAACAGCCACATATAGATAAAGAGCAGAAATTGTCCATAGTTATAGAAGAAATTAAGCAAGCTATCTTAGAAATATAGATTTTTTAATAACATATATAAATGTGAAACATCTACATATTAAGGTCTTCCAAAGAAGTACAAAGATGTACGGTGCGAACATCACTGTACAATATTCTTAATGAGTCACGATGGTCACGCTGCAAATATATAAGCCATTCCCAGTATGGCTTAAGACAGGGCACGCGCACTCGAGGGCAAATCTATGATTATCTTGAATGGCGAACAGAGACCTATAAAAAGAGGGTCGAAAAATTATACATATGTTACGTTGATTACACAAAAGCTGATTAGACTGCATTAAGCATGAAAGATTTATCGAGACGGACATAATATAGGCGTGATTATTAACATATATGGAACCACACAGGATGTGAGACACAAAACAGAAAACGGTAATAGAAAGTACTTATATATAAAGCGAGTAGGATGCTAGTATTGCATTTTGTCTGCTTTTCTATTTAATTTATATGCCGAATATATCAATCATCCGAGTATACCTTCAGAAGCGTTCAGAAAGTGACAGAATAAATTAAATCATCAATAATAATATAAGATATGCGGACGATACGGTGATATTAGTTGAATCAGTTGAACAATTAACAGCACTAATGAATATACTATTTAAAAAAGTAATGATGGGCTTGGAAATGAATACGTCCAAAACGACATCTATGGTATTTAACCGAAATCTCCAAGAGACAATTAAAATTGATATAATTGATGTAGATAGATGTTACCACATATCAGAATTTACAAAACGAAATCTATCTGAGCAGACGGATAACGATTGTAGTAGACTACTCTAAATAAATTAGAAGGGGCATCGAACGATGTCAAAAATGTCCATACTAATAACATAAAATGTTCAAATAATATATCTGGTCTTTAGTACTAGACTGATGTAAAACATGGCACTGAGGCAAGATGAGATCAAAATACTAAACGTATTCGAAATGATGATGTATCGACGGATGTTGCGAATAACTAGTACTAGCAGAACTACTAGCAAAGATGTATTAAACAGCATGAATACATAGCTGCAACTAGTAAATCCTTTAGAATTAAGGAAACGATATACCTTGGGCATCTAATGTAAAATGGAGAATTTAAACAACTCCAATTAATATTAGAAGGAAATATTGAAGGAACAAGAATTATAGGAAGAAAGAAAAATGAAGATGAATGAAAAACGTATTTTAACAAACCTGATTATGGCATCGATGGATCAGGAGCGTAAGAAGGAGTAAGTAATGCTAATTGATATATAAACATAGATATGACAAATAAATTCCCCTAGAAGCCGTCGTGTAAACAATGTAAACAATAGTAAGAACAATTCGGCATAGACGTCCATCATGATTCTTCACTGGTTTCTATCTTGGGAGCTTACCTTATCCAATTTAGTCTCACTGTTTTCTTTAATCACTCTTTTGATGTTCTTTCTTAATTGCTTCTTCCCAAATATGCTCCCCAGTTAATAATTTTTGTAATTCATCTGTTATCTTTTCGTCTCGCGATATATCCTACAAACTCCAACTCTAATTTTGTGATTGTTCTTCTTAGGCCTTTTACTTTTGATTTGTTTCTTATCCAATCGTGTTTTTGTCTCGTAACGATTAACTCATCATCACTATTTGTGTCACTTGAAGTCTTGATGTTATTCCATTCATTATTGTTTAAATTTGGGCTTCCTGTCTCATATCAGGAGGGTGCGTTGATAAAAAATCTGAGATCGTTAATATACTGCTATCTTTTTAAACACGAACTAATCTTTTGAAATCAATCCATCCCAGTCTCCCTTTTCTATTTTTTTTGTGTTTTATGTTGTATTCAGGTCTCATTAGAATTCATGTTCAGACCAATATTTATGCTTTTCCAAGTTTAGGATCATTTCATTTCCCTTTTAATTTGTATTTTATTTGTTTCTGTATTAAATCTAATTATTGATGTTGCATTTTGGTATATACTCGTTATATGAAATCGGAATGTGGTACACATTCGTTATTATTTTTGTGTATCTATAAACATTTCTTGCATTTTTAAGTTCTTCTTCAGGCGTACAATATTCAATTAAATATTGTATTCATTGAATTTTTCTATTATATCAACATAAATATAATACATATGTACTAATTTTTTTATGAATGCCTGTTTGACTGTTTGGTTACAGTTCAGTGGTTGTGATTCTATAATTTAATTTCTTAGTATATTAAAGAACTCGGACAGAAAACTCATAAGACGATAATTCTGAAGGTCTGTCTTACCGCTTTTCCCATCGAGCAAAAAGACAAAAGAGGGAATCTAATCGTTATGAAAAGGAGACCAAAAAAGTGGCTTCTGATGGCGGACATATCCGGAAATGCGAATGCGCCAAATTTAAATTTTCCGATACTTATTAACAATAGCTATAAAATATTTTTCAGACGAGAAAGTTTTAATTAAACATTAACGATTATAGTCTAAAATGTGACACAAATGGTAAAAAACTTCAATATAAATAAAATTTCATGTGACAGTTGGGACAAACAATAACATAACCAAACTAAATTTGATTTCTTAAACAAGGAAAGAGACTGTCTTTCCTTGTTTAAAGTGGCCTCTCAAGATGGCACTTCCCCCACTACCTTTGCCCCCACTACCTTTACATTCCCTCTTTTGTCTTTTTGTTTTTTTGCTCGATGGCTTTTCCTCAACATTGACACTGCTACGGCACTAAATATTATGTTTATATGGTAATAAGCCACACTTGATTTTAATGAAAATTACATTTTATGATTATTTGATGTTTCGATTTCCACACCGAAAATCGTTTTCAAAAAAAATTATTTGGCGGTTATGTTTACCAAATTGACAGATGTCTTACTTGGCCTCGATCTTGTAGGAATACAGCCATGATTTTAGATAAAAATTCTAAGGGATGATATCAAATTCTGATTGCTATGTGTGTTTAAGTATAATGTGTTTCTGTATTTATATTGTGTGTTCTATATGTATTACGTATAATTATGTATCATGTATCTCTGGTTTACTATTAATCCGCTAATAGTGGTATATACTTGTTGCTGACTTCTTTGTTTAGTATTGGCAATCAGAGCATGCTAAATTCTGCAAAAGAGTCTGCTACACATTTTGCTTCATTAAGTAAATTCTACTCTAATTTACAACGGAATGAAGGCCAGTGTTTTTTACAAAAGCAAATATAATTGCAGTGTCTAAACCATATAAACCCAAAAACGTGGTAGAAAGCTACAGTCTGATTGCGTTGTTGAGCTCATGTTACAAACTACTTTAGAGGCTACACAGGCTGGGTTCCTTCACATCGCAGCTTCACAGATCAAGCGCTCAGCCATACCACACATATAGAAGCTGGCTATCAAATACGAATAAAACGGAGGTTGCCTTGTTTCATCTAAATAACTAGCAAACAAATAACGAGCCTTAAGTATATTTTAATAACAACCTGATATGTTTTAACCCATACTCGAAATATCAGGACGAAAATGGATGAAAAGCTGTCATTTAAAAAACACTTAGAATACACTGCCGTCAAAATAAACACTCAAAATAACATCATCCACAAATTATGCGGACCATCCTGTAGAGCAGATGTCACTACTCTCAGAAAATGAGATCTAAGTATGGTCTACTCAGTTGCTGAATACTGCGCTTCAGTGTGGTTAAACAACATCGATGTAAAAAACATCGACAACAAACCATGGGGACTATCAGTGGATGTATTAACATTTGTAGTAGACTAGAGAATTCCCTAAGGGAATATAATATAATTGAATATAATTGCAAACCCCCAGATACAGATAAACATAGATGTCCTAGATATCATACTGAAGCGGCTTAAATCTAGATCGTCCCCACTTCATACGGCAACTACATAAGGAAGATTTCAGCGGCCAAGCAAAATGAAAGAAATGCATGCAATGTACTTATGTGTTATGTTTATTTGTAATGCGTTACAATCATTTATAATTATATTGCCCATATACGTCAGACGCTAAAAAAATTCTTCATTAAGTAAGATTTTTGATTAGGATACAGGCTACGCAACCAAAATGTCCAGATAATCAAAGGGAATTATCAAATCATTATAGAATAAAGGCCATATCACCTGCTGCAGTAGAAAATTTATTTTAGGAAGAAAAAAATTTGGTAACAAAGTTTTAACAAAAAAAGACTAATTACTATTAAACTGGGAATAAGCCACAATTAAAGATAAAAATACGTTTATTGACGTTTCAATTTCCACTTCGGAAATCGTTCTCAAAATACAAACAGTAAATTAAACAAATTTTGTTTTTTGAAACATAGTGAAAAATTCTTCTAATAATTTAATTTTATCTGACTCATTTGTATTGACAATTCAGACATTATGAATTTTAAAGTAGACGACTTTAAAATGATATTGCCAATATTGTTGAGTTGCGCTCCTGGGACGACTTTACTTATAAGATAGTTCATTCGATTACATGAAATCAACTTTAACTTGAGAATATCCGTCAGAAAAAAATCATAGCATGTAATTCGTCTTTAAAAAGACAAACACATGACATGATGACAGTAAAATTCTCCTGTTAGTGATTCCATAGTAAATTATGAGGGAAAAACCAGGAAAAAAACCTCATAATACTATCCCGACATTGTAAGTATTTGTTCGTGAATTTAGTTTACCTTCAACAAACATCAAAATTCTGATTTTATATGTTACGTTATTTAAAAAAACATAAATGATGTATCCTCTATATGTTACTGACTTACTAATACTGGTATTTTCTTATTAATAACTTCCTCTTTCAATATTGGTAACCAGATCCTACTACATTCTGCCGAGGAATTTGCGACACAATTGGCTTCATTTAGCATAATTAGAGCCGCTTCTTTGATTTTTTTTTTTTTACCATCCGGTTCTTTTAGGACTACATTTGAATTATTCCATTGAACCCTATGTTCATTATCCCATGCGTGTTTACAGATTTGAGATCTATCAAATTCTCTATTTTTAATATAGGATTGATGTTCACTTATTCTAACATTTAATGGCCTTGATGATTCACCTAAATAAAACTGATCGCATTCACAAGGTATTTTATAAATGCAATTCTTTGTCCTTTCTTGTTCATTGTTAGGTTTGGTTTTGGACAAAATAGATCTCAACGTGTTTGTTGTTTTGAATGTTGTAGAAATGTTGAATTTGTTTGTTTAATTTACTGTTTGTATTTTGAGAACGATTTCCGAAGTGGACATTGAAACGTCAATAAACGTATTTTTATCTTTAATTGTGGCTTATTCCCAGTTTAATAGTAATTAATTCACAATGCCACAAGAAAATAGCTTCAGAACAATAATAAAAAAAGACTACATATTGTTATTCGTAAACAAGAAATTTCACAAGATTGAAGATATAAAATACCATGAACAATCCAGAAACGCTCAGAAGAAAGGGTTTAAAGATGTCAACAATACTACAACAATTAATTATGTAAATGGCTATCAGAAAAATTAAAAAGTATGGGAAATAAGCACAACATCAAAACATTTAAAACAACCAATACACTGGGAATTATTCTGTTCAAAATCAAACCTAGCAACACGAACGAAGAGAAATCAAAGAACTGCATCTATCAAATACCCTATGAATGGAACAATTTCTTTGTGGGAGAAACCGCAATAGCACTAAATGTCAGGATAAATGACAATGAAAGATACAGCAAAACAGAGACTTTGAGAGATATGCAAAAATGCCTGTGGCAATGAGCACAGAGTATCATGGAAACACGCATCAATACTCATGAAAGAAACAGATATGAAAAAGAGAATAATCAAAGAAGCAGCTCTCATCTTACTTAACGAAGAAAAATGTATAGCAAACCCATCAGCAGAATACAGCAAGCACTGGATACCAATCATCATAAACAACTAACCTATATTTGTCGACTACTGAACGTAGGCATTCAGTAAAATTTTGGAATTCGAAACGTCAAATAACAATGATGAAATGCAATTTTAATTACCTACAATCAATTGTGGCTTAATCATATAAACATAAACATAATATTTAAATATTTAAATTAGACATACAACAAACAGTTTGAGAACCTTTTTATTATTGCATTGTTCCAATCTTTAGGTATGCTGTCTTTTTGGATGTAAAAATTTTCAATCTGATATTTTATGTCTTCAAATTCCTTTATAATTCAGTTATGATATTATCCTTACTGGTGCTCATGCTTAACTATTAATTTTAGTCACAGCGTAACTTATTTCATCTAGAATTATTTCGAGGATCTCTTCTGAGTGTGCGTTCAAAATATTTCTTTAGTTACTTACTCCGTGGCAAAACCTTTTGTGGGTTTTAGCAGACTTGACAGCATACCTCTATTCCTTTCTGTCTTGTGCAATCTCCATCCAAATCTCACACCCATAGCTTTAATATCTTCTGCTATTTTATCTCGCCGCCGGAGTCGAGGTCGTCCATGCGGTCTTCTTCTAATTGATACTTCTTCCCATGAAGCCTTACTATTGTTTCGTCAGAATGTCTTCTGAGGTATCCTGCTCATTGGAGTCTTCTGGACTTTATTTCTTTTATTATTATATATAAAATATTTCTGTAGTTGTGAATTTTTTAGATCAATTATTTGGTGTTTTCCGTTTAACTTTCTTATTATCTGATTTATACTTTGAATTTCTTCTTTACTGGTTTTTTTACCAGATATTTATGGTAAGTGGAGTTTCTTTGATATTTCTAGCTAACACTGCTGATAGCTTTGTTGTAAGTTAATGGTCTTAAAGATTTTTTGTATGAACTCCAAATTTTTCTTTCAATGTCCTCTGACATTCTTCTTTGTTACCATTTAATATTCTTATATCAATTTTCTGCATGTTTTATTTCGAATTAGTTTACAATTTATTATTGAACTATATTCTGATTAAACTAGGTCATTGTCACTTCATATATTTAGCACCGTAACACCTTTTTGTCTCTATGGTTTGTGATATGTAATAAATTTTGTATGTTTCGTATTTTTTCTTTCCAATAATGGCGCTGAAATATCCAAATATTAATTTCTGTTGACATTCTAATTCATTAGTCGCTTTGATTATCTCTTCGTAGAAAAGTTCAACGTCCTCGCCAGAATAAGGAGAACTTGGTGACATTTCCTTATATATTCTTATGTTTAGGGAATAAATGATAGATGAAAATGGAAAATTAGGAACCAAAAAGTAATATTGTTTGAATATACATTTGGCAATGTTAAATAAAATAATAAAATTTATTTTCTAAAGTTATCTAAAAATAATTTAGGAGAGTTTATAAATAAAATTTATACCGCGGAGGATTTCCAATTGTCTCTGTAATTACCTGGAGACAGAAGAACACAAGCAGAGTAGAGTGCCAACTCCGTTTCCGTCAACTTCAACTCCGCTATGCTTTTTGCAACTTCAAATACACACGTCACTAACTTCATTTCTGCAGTATCCGAAGTGAAAAAGGCATCTTGTGGGAGCATGGTGTCTCCGTATAAAACACAATTTTGGGAGAGATCCAAATATCTCGACATCCGGATTATTGCTAACTCAAAACTCCCTAAAACAAAGAATTGTCAGGTATTATTGATTATATTTTATGTCTATAAATCTATGTTATATTATTTAAATTAAATAAAAGAAATATAATATTTTTATAAAAAAAGCTGTTGATTTTACTCATCATATTAATTTGTCTGAAATTGTATAAAACATTTTAAAGTTATCTAAATTCATAATGTACATGGTGTTTCAATAATATGAACAAATATTTTAATTGTACAAATTTGAGGACAAACGATGTTTACCCAAAACACTTAGACAAAAGACTGTTCATTTATGAGAGACATATTTAAATGAATTTTGATTATAATCGAATACACACCCTGTCATTTTTTTATATTGTGTAGCAGTTTCAAGCACTTTTTTCAAATATATGAAATTACTGTAAAAAAGAATTTCTTGCTATTAAGTATAATAAATACTTGCCATTGCTATATAAAATTCTTTGTAAAAAGAAAATTGTTATTTTAGAGGTATTTAAACTGAACCATACAAGTGCACAAATATTTTTGTTCTTTCTATAGTTTGGGTTTCTGTTCTTTGATCTAGACTACATGCATTATCTCATTTATTTCTTTTTGCAGCCTTTCGCCACCTTCTTTTAGATACTCGATAGTTAACATTATACATTTTTGAAAAAAATTCGATCATTTTCACAATCAACCATATACGTTTTTGCAGTCTCGAACTTAAATTGCCTTAAATTTATTAATTATTCTTAAAAAACTAATTATACAGTTATATTGACTTAATCCTTTATAGGTTAATGATACATATTCGTACCACTTGCCATTTTCCGTAACCTAATATTCATAGATTGTTAAAACAATCAAAATTCCTTTTCGAATTAGCAATAACGGCAACTCAACCTGATATTGTTGCTATTGGTAGGAGTAGCGCATGGTATGAGGAAAAAACTAAAATGACGTCCTAAAGTGGTATAAATCGAAACCTTTGAGCAGTACCCTTACAATTGTTTCGAGTTTTCCCGGCCCTTTATTCCTTTATTCCACTGTTTTAAACGATTTGGTAACGATCAATTGAAGAAAGTTGAATATGCACAGTTTATTTATTAAATCTTTATTAAATCTTGCCCAAGTACTTTCGTTCCTAGAGCATCTTCAGGGGCATCTGAAATAAGCCAAGAAACGTTTTTCAACTGAAGAAAATTAATTTCGAAGAAGTTGATGGTTGATAAAAATTTTTTATGTAATATAACGTTTTAGACTTACTTCGTCAAATTTGGGCTATCCAACAATACATGGATAATGTCATAAACATTAAAAATGATACGTTAATACAACACGACATAAGGACAAACAGTTTAAAATTTGTTTAAAAAACGACGAAGCTACATATTGGTTGGCATCAGGAGAGAGAATGGACTTAACGGAAATATTAAAATGACATCTAACATATGACAACTTAGTTGTTAATGATGTAAATTAACCTTACTAGTTGTTGTCAAAGACTATTCCCACGTATGCCGATTTAGAATTTTAAAATAAAATGTTTTCACAATTAAATATGAATAAATTCCAAATTCCATTGATATTTTTTGAAAATTTTTTGTTCAAAAACGTGGTATACAGCTATACCGATATCCATTTAGTCATGTAATGTTACTACAATGACACCTCTGCAAAGGCAACGAAAAATAGATTTTTGTCAACGTTTTCGAGAAGATAATTTTAATAATGTCTTTATATCTGATGAAACTTGTTTCCAGCTTGGTGCAAATCATCTAAAAGTCCTATCAAGAGAAAATGTTACCGTTCAAATTTCCAAATTTCCCACTAAAATAATGGTTTGGGGAACAATATCTCAGCGTGGTGCTACACCTCTCTGTATAATTAATGGTACTGTTGATAGTGCGAAATATTGTGACATCCTAAATGGTTTTCTTCTTGAAACGGCTCATGTTTCATATCCAGAGATGTGGCGTTTTCAGTAAGATAATGCAATATGCCATACTTCTGCTTATACTCAAGCTTGAATGCAAGAACACGAATTGGCTACAATGAAGTGGCCAGCAGCATCTACAGATATTAGCCCCATTGAAAACATATAGGGACTGATGAAGATTGAAGTGGAACGAGCAGCGCCACGAGATAAAGAAGGTTTAATTCGGTCAGTTTTACAGGCCTGAAACACCATTACCGAAAATTGTGGCCTTGACCTAGTTTTGGATGTACCTGGACGTTTAGTTAAGTGTTCAGATTTACATGGAGGTTGTGTAAGTAAATGAGATGAATTATTTGTTAAAATTTTATATTTCAAGTGTTCAAGAAATAAATACCAAAAAATTGTAATTCTGCTCTCTTTTTTCCGGATACTTTCTAGACGGACTATATAATTGAAATTTATATTTAAACAAAAACAGAAACAGTCAATCGTAAAAAAATCTTACCTGCTTTTAGTAAAACAATTTGATCGTCTTGCGATAATTTCATGAATCCAGGTACCATTTTAGCAAACTCGATAATTTGTTGGATGATTGTTGTGAGTTTCTGTGCACATTCGAGCCACAATTCTTCGTGCGCCATGTTCTTATAAAATAACAGTCGTGAGAGATCGTGAGGTTTTCGAAACATCTCGTGGATGTGCTCCAACGTGTATAAACAAGTTCGAGTGTGTGCGTCGGATATAGTTTTCGATAGCAGTTCTGATATCTGACTTGGGTCTAAAAAATATAATAATTTTTCATTACTTATAAATCATAAATATAAATCACAATAAATGGAAGAGAGTAAATCCAAAATTAACGCAAACTCCTTAGATTTTGAAAATTGCATTTATACAACTAGGTAACATAAATGAACAATACATATTAATTTAGATATTAAAGTATTACTCCATTTGTAAACTTTAAGGTATATATTCTTATATTCATATAATTAAAAAAATTAAGAAATAAAATACTTTATTTTATTAATGTAGAATTTATAGAGTAGTAATCAACCAAAAATATTAAAAATCTTCATTTATTATTTAGGTATTTATCGTATGGCATTTCGACACATTTATAAGAATGCGATAAACAATAAACAAGTTTAATTAAAATTGACTCTATTATAAAATACTTAATGATGGTATAAGACTCGTCCGCGTTCCTAGTAAAATATTACAAGTGCAACCTGGGTAACGCTAAATGGGTTAGCACGTACTGGGCTAACATTTGCAGACAATATTAGTTTCTCTTGACCTCGACAGACAGAAACATGACTCAAAAATCTGTAATATCCATGAGATGGTTTCAATGTCTACATATCACTATCACTAGCCTTGATATATCCAATGTCCGGACAAAGACACCCCATGATTATCTATTTTTGATCATATGAATCCATCGTTTTATTCCATCTATCGCTTTTTTATTCAATAGAAGTGAACAGGGTGGATAATTTCCATTTTAATTTTACTATTTAGCTGATAGCATTTTTTATGACGTTTGCTATATATGTATTATGACTGACGATCTTAAGTTAAACACTTGTCTTTCCACTTCTCTTTGTGCATTTTTTTTTATTCAATATTAGCTGTTATGAATGTATATGTTTGACATCTCTATCTATATAAGCATGAAAAGAATGCAATGCTAATTGCAAACGCCAAAGAAAGCCCATGTCAATTTCGTTTGTCTTGTTATTTTTTTTCTCTGATCCTTTTCGGGGTTCAAAGCAGTAGTGAGGCGCAATACAAGGTGTTGTTTCCAGATAACACCTCTAGCCTCTCCTACTCAATTACATGGACGTCTTTATTTATACGTCCATGCTCAATTCCTATCCTCACGTCCAAGAAGTGTGATCTTGATCACACGATTGAACCTCGGTAAACTTGAGCAACCCTATTGGAGATTGGGTAACAAACCCCAATGGAAGGTAGGGTCAGTACGGACGAGGAAGGGAGAAAGCATAGCTTGCTCAGAAACTATAGCCAGCAGCACTGGCACAGGACTCAGGTTTATTTATTTAGCGTATGGATAATTACAATCCGATAAAAGTAGTATTTAGATAATAATTATGTTCAAATTGGAATTGTAACCTAAGTTAAATATTAAATATGAATGTCCAAGTTGCACAGCCATTCAATTGCACCAGGAGAACACTCTGCAAAATCTTGAAGGTCTCCGCTGTATCTGCGGATTGGGCAATCCACCATGATGTGTTGGATGGTCTGTCTCGGGGATCCACAATCACATTCTCGGGTGCAATAGGCCGATAACCTGTTCACTTTACACTCAGCTATCACGAATGCTGCGAACAATGAACTAACCGGACGGACCAACGGACAACGACCAAAGCTACTGAATAAGGACTTAATGATGGATTTACGACTGGAAACCTGGAATGTCCAAACCATGCTGCACGCAGGCAAAATGCGAAGTATTGCACAGGAACTATTGAAGTACGAAGTAGACATAGCAGCCCTCCAAGAAATCAGATTTAAGGGGCATGGTTGCATAAATAAAACAGAATACACAGTGGCACAGTTGGCAATGGCAAACAAACTAAGAGTTGGTAGTACGTTTTTTTTTTCCTCATAAAAATATTCATAAAGGAACCTGGATGACACCTGGTACTAATAAATTTGATCAAATTGATCACATATTAATACCTAAGCGGTGGGAAACCTCCGTAACGGATGTTGAACTTATAAGAGGCGCAAACTGCGATTCGGACCATTTCTTGGTTCTATCGAAGATAAAACAATGAACATCAATGGTAAGAAAAGAGAAAGGCGCCAAACAAAGAAAATGGAACACATATATGTTTAAAAATCCTAAAAAGAATAATGAGTACAAGCAGAAAATAAAAGTAATATTAAATGAAAGAGGAGAACAAAACAACATTGAAGAAGAATGGAATGTCATCCAAACGACAATTACAAATACAACAAATTACAGATTATAATAACAGAAAAGAGATTAGAAAATTTTACAATGAAACCAAGCAATACACCCAAGGATACATGACAAGATCAACAGTTTGCAAGGACAAAAATGGGGCAATTATCAGCGAGAAAGAGGAAATAATGAAAATGTGGAAGGAGCATTTTCAAGAGCTGTTAAACTCAGAAAAAGAACAAAACAAAGATGAAAAAATAATTCACCACATAGCAGAACAACTAGTTGAGCAACCAACATTGGAAGAAACGATAAAAGAATGGTGGACATGCGCTATGGAGGCGTATCCATAAACTAATCGACCACATATGGACACTAGAAGTCATCTCAGAAGATTGGAAAGTAGGAATCATACTTCCTATGTACAAAGGGTGAGACAAACGACTCTGCAAACAATTATAGGGGCATAATAGTTTTAAATGTCGTCTACAAGATATTATCAGGAATTATATATAGCCGCCTGGAATCGTTTTCGGAGGAGATGATTGGTGAATACCAATGTGGCTTCAGACCAAAGAGGTCAACTATAGACCAAATACATATGTTAAGAGGTATACATGAAAAATATGTTGAATATAACATACCTATTTACAACTTGTATATCGATTTCAAACAGGCGTTTGATGGAGTAGATCGACAAAAGATGTTAAAGCAACTATCTATGTTAGGGAAACCCAATAAATTGGTTAAACTTATACGAATGACTCTGGAAGAAGAAATAGAAGAAGATTGTCTTTTTCCACTTTTCTTTTCTGTCACAAATATGCCTTGATTAACTCTGTTCTTGTAAAAAATATTAATTTATTAAAAGCGTTGCACCTACTCAAAACTAAACGCAACACTTGTTTTATGAGAAATTTCGTCACCTCTAAAAATTACATTAAAAAAAATTTGCAAAAAGTTTAGTTATTTAAACTGATATTGGTAGCGTTCAACATCGATATTAAATCTTCTTCTTGTTCTTATATTGCCGAACCGTTTCGGATGTTGGCAAGCATCATGGCAATCTGTATTTTGCAAACTGCGGTTCTGAAAAGATTTGTGGTTGTTGGTTGATATTAAATAAAATTTTAAATTCGTTAACAAATTTATTTTAAATTTATTTATTTTAAATTAGTCCATTCTATCACATTCTTTTAATACATTGAAATTATTTCCATATTCAATATAAGGTTGAATGTTCGAATAATTAAACTTTGATAGTATACAAGGCAACTATCGAACACAGTGATTAATTAAAGCTTGCCCAAGTACTTTCGATCAATAGATCATCTTCAGGGGCATCTGAAATAAGCCAAGAAACGTTTTTTAATAAGAAGGAAAATAATTCACTTGGATAAAAAACTCCCAAGTTTGTGGTTGAAAAAAGTTTTTATGTGATAAACGTTTATAGATTTACTTCGTCAGTTGTGGGCTATCCGACATGAGTAGAATGTCATAAAAGTAAAATTGGACATAACAATACAATACACAAAGACAAACAAACACTTTAAAATTTTTTTAAGGAGAAGCTACATGTTATACAGAAACCGGAGACAGAATGGGCTCCCGGTCTAGCGGAAATGTTTGGATGACAAGTGACAAATGACAGCTTGTAAAGGGCAGTTATGTGATCTGCACCTTTCAAAATTCTATGAAACTAAATATTGACCAAAGGTCCAACTGACACCACTATAGGAAATCAACTGATGAAATATAAAATTAGTATATTTTTATGTAGATTGAATAATGATTTGTGTGAGTGTGAGATTTGGATTTGGATTTGGATTTGGAGTTTTTTATCCAAGTGAATTATTTTCCTTCTTATTAAAAAACGTTTCTTGGCTTATTTCAGATGCCCCTGAAGATGATCTATTGATCGAAAGTACTTGGGCAAGATTTAATTAATCACTGTGTTCGATAGTTGCCTTGTATACTATCAAAGTTATTTCCATATTTTTTGAAAATAGAAAGTGTGCAAGAAGAACAACGAATTTATTTAACCAAGTTTATCATGATAAGTAACTTCATCACTTATACGTAATAAAACTAGTTAAAAAAACATGCAACCGGAAATAGGAGTGTGAAAAACGTGTTAGGACTGAAGAGGCAGAAGTAGCAATTTTAGTTTGCCATGTTCAAGTATTGAAAACATAGCTCCAGAATCTGGTTTTTCATGCACTTCTGTCCGATGAGTAATGAAATATTACAAATTATATCACTACAAAATACATTTGGTACAGAAAATAATGAAGATTATTCAAACAGGCGACTATAGTTTTGTGATATTATGACTAAGAAAATAAATAGTAACTAGCGGACCAACTCGACATCGAGTTTTTTAAATGAAATTTTTATTTTGCGAGAAAAATTAAGAGATCAATATAAACAATATAAGCAAGAATATATATAACATTCATCAATAATAATGCAAGTAAAAAGTGTATTAAATATCATGAAATATTTCGTCGAAAACAATGTTTTTTGTTACAATGTCTCCATTTTCTGAAAACTTTTGCTTGGCACCGGGAGTTATGTAAACTTTTACTTTTTACTTTTTAATAAAAACGAAACCGGAAGTCGACCTCAAAACCGGAATGCTATTTTTAGTTCATCAAATGTCGACATGGATATCATTTAGCAGTTAATTTTGCATGCTGATCACGAATCCGGTGTCAGATTTGCTCTATCTTGACGTTTTATGCGCGTTTCGGGTCACTTCCGGTGTCGGATCGCAACCGGAAGTACATATTTAGATTCGTCTCGACGAGACCTTTCGATCCATATATACATTGTGGGGTCTAAAACTTAAAGTAAATTTTAACTTCCGGTCATCTCAAAACCGGAGTGCTTTTGTACCAAAAGTATATCTTGACAATCTCATACGTAATACTAATAATATTCCGAAACAATATTTTAATTATCTAATATGGTTTTTGAGTAAAGTGGTGGACAAGAAAAGGGCTTAGCGTTTTAGTATATAAGATTCCAAACTTTCTGTTTTAAGTTTTTTCGGATGAATGTTCTTTTTTCTAAATGGCACTGTAAATCGACACAACTGTCGTTATTGGCTGATAAAAATGTTAGAGTTTTCCACGAAATAGATACCCAGCAGCCATTGAAATTAAACGTATGGGTAGGAGGTTAAAGAGCCGTATAGTTGGGCCATTCTTTTTGCCACAAAATTTACACAAGATGATGATGAATGAAATATAGTAAGCCCTAAAATGCTTTAAAATGTTGGTCGTAATTTCGAATACCGATTTTATAATAGTATGGACGTTGGTGGATAGCATGAACATTTATTGAAATCATTATAACCGATGAATAAGCTGTTTTAAATTACGAATTAAATTTAAAGTTTAGTTAATTTTTTTTGGCACATTTAATAAAGTTTCATATAAATGTTGCAAATTCCCTTTTAATGTAATTTTTGACGTGGTAGGAAAAATTTAATATGTTCCGATTAATATAAAGAAAATTTATTATTGATTTTTTAAATATTTTGGGATAAACTTTATTATGCTAATATTTAATTTTAAATTTAGATTTTATTAAAAAAGTCATAAAATTAAAAGAAATTTCTTGTAGAAATAGTTGTAAAACTAAAATATCCAAGAGTGGAAGACCTCGGGTTATGTCTCAAAATGTGTCCCAAATATTTTTTTTTTATGTTTTTATTGTTGTTATCAATTCTGTCTGCAAAATTGGTGGACATACCCACATTTCTAAAGCTTAATTTTTTAAAAGCAGCATTTGTGAGGTTTAATTGCTACTCTATAAATGTTCAGTTTTGTGCTTTTAGCAAACTGCTTATGTTTGAATAAGTTGTTATACTTATAAATTTCAGGTTTATTGCTAAAATGAATGCTACTATGAATATCTTCAAAATTTTCTCCCTTAAACTTTTTAATTTCTTATAATCAGTGCTGTCATCAGCAACAAATATTAAACATAGATGTTGTAATTATACCTTTTGTTTCGTCAGATCTGATTGTCTCTTCTCTTCTCCAATGTTTGCTTAGACTTTATAAAGAGGACGTATAATTTAGTCTCTCAGATCTCAATTATAAATTGAGAAGTTTAAAGAAGAAAAGAAAACGTTTTATTTTCTTAGCATTATTTATATTAGAGATAGACTTTACCAGTACATGCACATCTGACCGCAATGTTAACAGTATGCTCACTTCTAGTAATAATTATTTTATCATAAGCAGCTATATTCAATACATATTGGCTATAAACTGTACGACGAAATCTAAATTTTTATTTTTGTCTAATCTACATACCTACTACTCATATACATGCAAACTACAACTAGTGTTAGTATAAAAAGGACAACAGTTAGAAAGGAGGAAGGACTTACTGGGCAAAGTAACAGACTCACAATCATCGCCGCTTCTCTGCTGGATACCTTGCGTCACCAACGTCTGTCTTGCCGTACTACCCTGTTGTACGTTGGGCGAGTTAACGAAAGTCGTACTATCTACATAAGAGGGTACAAGTGCTTCGACGTTCCCTTCTTGCTTCACGGACACCATTGTACCACCTGACAGGGTGGTACTCGAAGTTTGAGTTACTCGTTTGAAAGTGCGGTTGTCGCTTATCGTTAACGTTTGTTTATTACCACCGCCACCTCCACCGCCTCCACCTCCCCCGCCACCGGTCCCTCCACCATTAGTGTTAGTATTGCCTGCGCCAACAAAAATACACTACCTCGTATATTAAGGACAATTCTTAGAGGTAGTTGATTTTCTTACCGGCTATGACTCATAATGGCGCATTACACAAAACTTCTAGTTTTTTACTAAACATGATAAAAATATCGGCATTCTATTTGAAATATTATCTACTATACATCGAGCTAGTTACAGTACAGTCCAAAGTAAGTATTTCTACGATTTATTTACATTCGCTGTAGATTTTCAGGATATTCCTAACGTAGAGAAAGTTTACCTACTTGTATTTTGTGATTTATTATAATATACTCAAAGTTAAGAACAGCAAAGTACATAGTTCCATTGGAAAATCCAGGGGTATAAAGTATATCCTGCATGATTAGAAAAAAAATCTTTGTGACAAATAAATCGACAAATCTCCACCCACCAGACTACTGACAAGAGAATATAAAGTAAGTGTAAAGAATAATGCACTTTTATTATCCTTATTCGCACATAAACACACCACGGCAAAAATAGACCTCAGCTCTTGGAAACTCGTGGAAACTCTTGGAGACAGATCGCAGCCATCAATTCTTTAATCAAATGTCGCTTTTAGTCCGAAACAAGCTATTGTTAAAATGATATAATTTTTAACCAAATAATGTCTCAAATACAAACATAATATATAATTTAGATTTCATAAGGAATTTTTTGAAGATTCCGAAAGTGAAATAATTAATTATTATATGCAATGAATAATGGACAATTAAACGCATATAGACCCCAACACCGAAATTCGCAAGAAAGAACCAAATCTCCAAAACTAAACGGTAGAGAAGAACCTTGCACACAACCCAATCACGGCATCACATAACAGTTCTCTTCGCCAGAGAAAAAATAAGATGTCATATTCATAGGCACATTGGCAAAAAAAATAGTTACAGTTAAACAGAATGTATAAAAGAGATATATAAATACAAAAGAAAATCATTCAAAACAAAAAATCCAATTAAATATAATGAAACTGATCGATTAATAAAAAAGAGAATAAAAGAAGCTAAGGAGAGAATGTTACATGAGCAGTGCCAAGAACTAGAAGAAATTGAGAAAAAATATGACTTTTTTAACATGCATAAAAGAATTAGAGAATTAACAGGAATGAGAAAAACACTTTAAACTAGGCAACTAAGAGATGAAAGGGGTGCACTTATAACAGATATAAACCAAAAAATGCAGAGATGGACACAATATATAGCACAACTATTTGAAGACAAAGAGAGAACAGAAGCACCAAAAGAATTTAAGGATGATACTGGGCCTGACATTATACGAGAAGAAATTGAATATGCAATGAAACAAGCTAAAGATGGTAAATCTCCCGGGCCTGATGAAGTTTCTATCGAATTACTTAAAATTGTGAATACTGAATCTATTGATCTTCTTTTGGATCTATTCAATACCATATATAGAACAGGTATAATACCTAAAGAATGGCTCCAATCAAACATTCATACTGCTTCCCAAAAAAGCCAATGCAAAGGAGTGCAATGAACATCGCACCATAGCCTTAATGAGTCATGTCTTGAAATTGTTTTTAAAAGTAATTCACAATAGAATACATAAGAAATTAGATGAAGGCATAAGTAATACACAAATGGGATTTAGGAAAGGACTGGGAACACGAGATGCACTGTTTGCACTAAGTGTTCTTTCGCGGAGATGCTTAGATATTAATCAAGAAGTATATGCCTGTTTCATTGATTTTGAGAAGGCATTTGACAGAGTGCAGCATAATCGACTTAAAGAAATTTTATTAAATAAAAACATAGACAGTAGAGACATTAGAATCATCTGTAACCTCTATTGGAATCAAACAGCAAAAGTGAAAGTTAAAAACGAACTGACCAAGGATATCCAGATTCACCGTGGGGTCCGCCAAGGGTGTATTTTATCACCCTTGTTATTCAATTTATACAGTGAAGCCATCTCAGAATTAGCGCTTGCCGAGATCAGTGAGGGCCTTATAATAAACGGTGAGCCACTTAATAACATAAGATATGCTGACGACACCGTCCTTTTGGTAGGAACACTAGAAGAACTGCAACACCTTGCTGAACAACTAAATATATATTGCAACGATTATAGACTAAAAATCAATTTGAAGAAAACCAAGTTCATGGTATTTACAAAAGCACAAAACATCAAAGTTAAGCTAGTACTAGATAATACATAAATTGAACAAATACCTTGGAGCATGGATCACAGAAGATACTGATAAGACAAATGAAATAAGATGCCGCATTGAAATTGCGCGGTCAACTTTTAATAGAATGAGAAAACTTTTTTGTAATCGCGATATCAATATATCGCTCCGGATAAGAATGCTTCGATGTTATATTTTCTCTACCCTTTTGTATGGAGTTGAAGCTTGGACACTTAAAAAATCCAACATTAAAAACCTAGAAGCATTCGAAATGTGGTGTTACTGACGCATTTTGAAAATATCATGGATGGATCGCAAAACAAACGTTCTCGAACAACTAGGAAAACAATGCGAAGTTTTAAATTCCATAAAGATCAGGAAATTGGAATACTTGGGGCACATCATAAGAAGTGAAAAGTACGAACTACTAAGGAATATAATGCAGGGTAAAATCAAAGGTAGAAGAAGCGTAGGAAGACGTAAAATCTCGTGGCTACGCAATCTCCGTGAGTGGTTTGGATGCAGTTCAATTGAACTATTCAGGCGAGTAACCAATAAAATTATAATTGCCAGAATGATTTCCAATCTCCGATAGGAGTGGAACTTGAAGAAGAAGAAGATTTCATATAAAAGTACAGTACTTCATGAGGAATCACACTAAATGTTAAGTAAATACGAGCAATATTAAAGGAGTTATCAAAATTTAAATACCGCACGGTCGGTACGTGCGCTTCTCAAACGCGTTTTTGTCTAAACTTTGTTCTTCCGTACTGTAGGCATGATTTCTCGAGAACAAATATATCTGTTTGGCTGAAACCATGCACAATTAATATTTATTTATAGTATTGTTTCGTGATTAAACGAAGGGATTAAAAAATTGAAGTTTAAAATTTTTAAATAAGTTTGAATGAATTTTCGTCTCATATTTTTAGCATTTTTCCGGTTCGCATCGTTTTTAAAACATTTTTTTCGTATAAAACAAGAACGAGTCGAGGAATTAGAAGTCCCTTCGTTCAATCACGAAAGGACACTATAAACTGGGCAAAGTTTCAGCAAAATCAGTCGATTCGTTCTCGAGAAATCGTGAATATCGCACGGAAAACAAAGTTTCGAGAAAAACGCGTTTTGAAATTTTTAAACTGAGAGCGCACGTTCCGACTAAGCGGTATTCAAATATCTACAACTTCAGAAATATTGAAATTTGGTGTGAATACTCCTGATGTACTATATTTTCATACGGAATGTTTTTTAATACAAGACCTATGTAACCCCTTACGCCACCAAGGAAAACCATACAGAAGCTCCCAACACTTAGTTGATGGATTTAAAGAAGAAATAACTAGAAAAATCATTTACTCCGGTGGAGCTATTCAGAAAAACAAGCTTAACACAAAGATTATATTTGAAGTTATTAAAAAGGAACCAGATTCATACTTTTACAAAATTAGTTCAAAAATGAAATTACGATGGAGAACTTAAAACGTGTTGATGTATGAACATTATATTCAATCTACAAATACAGAATATTTGTGAAAATTTTACCTAAATATGTATAAACAGAAAGGACCATAAATCATGTACTGCAATGAAACTTACAACCACAGTTACAATACTGAGACTTTAGCAAAAATAAAAACCTATAGTTTCGAACGTTGAAAGTTGACATCTTGTAAAAAGTTGATTTATCTATTTAGGAGTCAACAGCACACAGGAAAACCATGACGATGCAGAGCTTAACCAGATCCAAGCCAATACGGCATACACTCCTATGAACCCAATATTGAAATCAGAAGACGTAAATCAGAGAACTAGGATATGAACAAGACCATAATCCGACCGATAGTGAGCTATGGATGTGACACTTGGGTGTTGACTTAAAAATATGTAAACGGTATAGACATCTTTGAAAGGCAGGTACAGAGACGAATCGTAGAATACGAACGTAGAAGGACGTAGAGGCCGAGGACGCTCACCTATCCGATGGTCAGATCAAGTACAGAAAGCCACTGGAGAGACGTTTTCCGAGTCCATGAGAGCAGCCCAAAATCGCAAGAGATGGAGAGAATTGACAGCCCGCATTGTAGGGAATCACGATCCTCAGCAATGAGGAAACGACAAGAGAGAGAGACAGAGACGAATACTAGGCGTTATAAATAAGAACAACAGGTGGCGAATCAAATACAATTAATAAAAATATAATATATAATATATAATATATATATATATATATATATATAATATTATATATATATATATATATATATATATTATATATATATATATATAGACAAGGTAGTGCAAAATTTTTTATGACTAGTTTGGAAAAAATATGTAAATACTTTTTTCTTTTTGGATGTGGTAGTCAATAAAAAATAGAGGCTTCGTGAGATGTGACTGAATTCAAACCTGCGAAGACGACTGTTTTTTGTCAAATATGTCTTACTTTTTACATTTTAAACTTTGTAACGTATTCATTAATTTTCAAGTTATTTTAAAATTTTTAACAGTTTTAATGCCTTCAGCAATTCAGGTCACATTATGTTATTTAACGTTGTGTTTTATATGCTATGAATCTTACTTTCTGGTAAGTTTTTATAACTTTTATATTGCATCAGCCAAAGTTTATAACACAGTAATTTTCATTGTAGACCTTGATAAAGGTGGCAAACAACCACCGAAAGCTCGGATTCAGAATAAATAGTACGCCTTAGCAAAGCTCTATTTTTTATTGACTACCACACCCAAAAAGAAAAAAGTATTTACATATATATATATATATATATATATATATATATATATATATATATTTATATACATATATAAAGAACC